ATGGTTCTGATCTGTGAACAGCTATCTGGAATGAAGGCTGACTTGTGTAATCCTGTTGTTTACACCATGCAATGCACATATGTTGCATGAAATACCTCCTTGGGAACTAAGCCTTTACATAAAATATAAGGCTGATAGCACTGATGTCAGAGAGCTGTGGTCCCTCAGCACGACGGTACAACAGCACCCTCTCTCAGGGCACACAAGGAATACTGCAGAAGGAAGGGAGGGGTTGAAAGGCTCCTGCCTGCACAGCCTTGGGCAGAGCTGCCTCCAGCAAACCTGTGAGCAGGGCCCTGCACTGCTGCTGACAACATCACACCCCACTGCCTCTGGGGGTTCTTCATTAGATCTTGCTTCTGGACATCTATGAAAACGAAGTTCCTACCCACAGGTGATCACTCACCCCAAAATCCACATCCACATTCAAGATGATTCCAAAACTAAAATAGTAGATCAATTTTTTGACAGTATAGAAAGAATGATATAACAAAGCCCCCAAATCTTCAGTGCTATATATACCAAACTTCTTCCTTCACCCAAGGATCTCAAGATATACTGCAGTCAAACCCTTTTCAAGAGCTCTGTTGAGTAGAGATTACCTTCCATTTTGTGAATTCCTACTTTGATAAGGAATTCACTACTCCCTCCACCACCTCCTAGTCAGGACTGGAAATGTTTGTGAAGTCATCTCTCCTGAGAAAACAAAGAATTAAATTAGGAAAATGACACAAAGCAAGGGTTCAGATGAACAACTTTAATCAGCCTTAGTGAGTGGTGTTCACTAACCAGTAAATACAATTAATTTTGAAATCCTTTTCCTTTCTCAATCTGGAAGAGATGGGCTAAGTTTTTTCACTACTGGAACTCACGGAGAAAAGCAACTGGAAGTGCTTTGGATTGTCATCTCCACATAACCAAATGTATGACACTGCCCACAAGCAACGCTGCACAATCAACAGGTATCCTAAGAAGAAAGTTTTAACACTTTCAAAGGGTATAACTTGCATACTTCCCTACACTCTTTAAGCCCCACACAATTTATTTCCTGCTTTATTATTACTTTTACAGCAGCTCCCATCTGAGCACCAGAAACACAAACGAAGCCAGCACAATCCCAACCTCAGGCAGTGAGGAAGTGCAACACCACCTCTGCCACAGAGCAGAAATCGGTTTGCTGAAGTTCACTCAGGGAGCCTCTGCCAGAGCCAAGACTAAAACTCAGACTAGCATTTTTATCCATGAGCCTCTCCTATCTGAAAAATATTCCATTCTAATCTAGACTGAATGTTTTATTTTAATTTTGAACACTGCAATTCTAATTCCAATCACAATGCAGATTCAGTTTTCACCTCTTCAGTACTATTTTAACCAATTGGTTTTATATGTTTTAGTAAGACCATAAATGTGGTTGGTTCTGACCTAGTTTTAAATCTTGTCCTCTTCTCTTATCCTATTGCTCAATAAATTAAAAGAAAAAGGCACAGTTAAGTAATACTAAAAGAAATCAATCAAATAATATGAAAACAGTAAGCTAAGGTTTATTTCCCCAGCTGAAATATTGCCCTGCTTCCTGAAATAGCACTGTTGGCATGCTTTGTATTTTGATGACAAAAATAATTTTACTAGCTAAGTATTTTAAATTGCAAAGGGAACCAGATGACTAACATACTATGAAAGAATAATTAATGATTTCTTTGTTTCTTTCTAACTTGCACTGTTCACCACAGCTGCTTATTTAGCTCTGTTTAGTTGCTGATTTAAGGATTTCTTTGCAGCCTATTTCAGGTTGATTGCAATTCAGGTTGTGGTACTGAGATAACTCCCACTCCATGCTGCAAATGCTTCTTTCCTGACACATCTTGCCCTAAGTTGCAATTCCAGGCATTGGTGTGGTCTCTTCAAGTGACTCCAACATGGTCTGATTCCCTGCATGCTGGGATATATGCAAGGCATGCTCCGAAATGCCTGGTTCTTTAAAGGGAAAATTAGGAAGACACAATCTCAGGACAAGCATTTTTTCACACATAAAGTAAAACTGGAAGTCCATTTGTTTGATGGCAAACCAGAATTTATGATGCATTCAGGAAGTCCATAAAGTGTTAGGGAAAGTGGAGTCTCACAGGGAATGAAAGGGCATGAACAAGTGGGTAGTGCAGAACAATGAGATATGAGAGTGTCAAGTCTTAACATCAAATCTGTAAATTTAAAACAAGGACAGTATTTACCCACAGCTTTCATAGATGTCACCTTTTTGAAGGAATGAATGTTCCTTACTATTCTTTGAAGCCGAAAAGGACAGCTCACTATAACGAGAAATAAAACTGATAGTGGTTTAAGAGCAAAATCTTTACAGTATCTTAACTACAGTTGTATTACACTCATAATATTTACTCTAATTATGAGGTAATCTGACACACCAGGCAGAGAGTAAGAAAACCCAGAATGTAAAGAGAGAGGTCTCAATCCTGCAAACTGTCCTGCATGAACACATCACAAAGTCCAGAGGACAGAACACCATCCCGAGGTTAACAGCTGCCTGTTCAAACAGAGGGATTTCCTCACACAACATGGAGTGCAAGGTCAGAGACACCGTTCAGACAGCACAAAGATCCGTGAGCTATGAGGAGAAAGCAGCTGAACACGTGGATTTTCCACTCTTGGAGAAATTCAATACCAACATGGACCTGCGTAACCTCTCTGGGCAGACCTGCTTTGTGCAGGGGGTTCAGTGGGCAATATCCTTCCAACCCCAACCATCCCGTGGTTCTGCAGTATTCCAGTCAAACACAGTCTGCTTGATCAGAAGACAGACACCAACTGTCATAGTCTCAGGGAGGCTCCTCAAAGACAAAACACGTTGTGTCCGCAGATCTCAGGGCAAGTTCGGGATTTTTTGGTGCTTCGTGGTGATTACACACTTGGGAAAACATTCTCAAAATCTTCATCAAGATTGTGCATAATCCCAGAAGGCATGTGCAGCCTCACAGAATTCTTACATGTGGTATTTAGGAATACACAAGTGATTTTTCTGCTCGTGAGCTAGAATTATCATACTTCTGTGAACATACCATTGATTATACATCTGGATGGCATTTTTCAGGGTTGTCTCAAACCCACTCTCCTACTATTCGGGCAGCAGACAGGGAAATCAGCTGTGATTGCAGGATGCCCTCGAAGCCAGACAGCTCTGCATAGTCAGGTACAGCACCAGCTCCACCTTGAAATTGCTATTTAAGAATCCCAGAGGTTAGCCAGCAAGAAATTATAGCTAAAAAAATTAATCTTTAATGCTTTCAGAATCCTTCTTGGAATCTGTTCAGTTTTAATTCTTGCCAGCCATCAATCAAAATAACAACAGCACACTTTGTCTACTTATGTCAAGGTTTTGCAAATCAGAAACTTGCATGGTTTTAAATAGTTTTGACACTGAATCCACTTTCTGACATTCCCCAAGTGACTCCGTTCTGCCAAAGAAAAATGGAATATACCACAAAACAAGCTTTGATAGTGCAATTCTTCATTGTTTTCCTGCTATGGCTCTCTCTCACAGACAGCTTGCAGTGGATTGCTGGTGCTTAACTTAGGAGAAATTCTACTGCAGTCAGTCATGCTGTGCAGTGTTTTCCCACTGCCAAAAACATCTCAACCTCTGCACGGGGCACAGCAGAATTCTCTGAGTGTGTCACATAGTTCAGGCTCACAACAAATGCAGTAGCATGTGGGACAGCCACCTTCATCCACAGAGATGCTGTGAGGGCACAGCTCTCCCTGACAGGGCAGGACAATCACAGAATCACAGAATTATTTAGGTTGAAATAAACCTCCAAGATCACTGAGTCCAGCCTTTGACTGAACACCACTTTGTCAACTAATCTATAGCATTAAGTACCATGTCCACCAACACCTCCAGTGATGGTGACTCCATAGGCAGCCTATTCCCATGCTTGACAACCATTTCCATGAAGAAATGTTCAGCAGCAAGGTCTGAATCTCCTGTCCACCCAAATTGCCCAGGTCTCAAGGGTTCCTCAGTCTCTCTTAGGTGCCCCAGACCTCTGCAGAGCCTCACACCCCTGGGGCGACACTTGCAGGAACACCCCGAGGAAATCATAGAATGGTTTGTGCTGGAAGAGACCTTGAAGATCATCTCATTGCAACTCCCCTGCCATGGGCAAGGACACCTTCCACTAGATCAGGTGGCTCAGAGCACCATCCAACCTGGCCTTGAACACTTCCAGGGATGGGGCAGCCACAGCTCCCCTGGAAAACCTTGTCCAGTGCCTCACCACTCTCTCAGAAAAGAATTTTTTCTTAATACCTAATCTAAACATATTCTCTTTCAGCTTGAAGCCATTCCACCTTGTCCTGTCACTCTATGCTCTCAGAAATAGTCTTGTCCCATCTTTCCCGTAAGTCCCTCCAGGCACCAGAAGGCCACAGTTAGGTCACCCCTAAGCTTTCTCTCTGCCAGGCTGAGCAATCCCAATTCTGTCTTTCCTCCCAGCAGAGCTGCTCCATCCCTTTCATCATCTCGGCGCCTCCTCTGGACTCGCTCCAGCAGCTCCATGTCCTTGCTGTCCTGGGGACTCCAGGGCTGGAGGGCAGCTCTGCAGGCGGGGTCTCACCTGAGAGGGCAGAGGGGCACAATTCCCCCTGGGATCAGCCCAGGATTTGGGGTTTCTGGGCTGGGTCACGTCCAGCCTCTCACCCACCAGCACCCCCAAGCCCCTCTCCCCAGGGCTGCTTCCATCTGTTCATCCCCAGCCTGGACTGATCCCGGGGATTGCCCAGCACCCGGACGGGACGCAGCTGGAAAAGGCTCCGGTTCCACAGACAACCCGAGAGCCCCCATTTCCAAGTGCCTCAGGCTGAGAGCCCCGCTGCGATCGAGCGTCCCTGGGCAGTAGAAGGGGACAAGCAGTGCCTTCCCCCACATGAACCGACACAATTCGGCAAAGCAGGCCCGGCAGGGCCCGCCCGCCCCGCCGCCATCTCGGGGCGCGGCCCCGCCCGCCCCATTTCCCGTGATCCCAGAGCCCGGCACCGCTCCCGAGGGACGGGAAGGACGGGAAAGGCACAGCAGGTACGGGCTGGGACCCCCGCGCTGCCCGGGGAGGGGACTTAGAGGATGAACGAGCTCGTCACAGGCGGCTCCACGCTCGCTTTGTTCACTGCAGCCCTCCCTCCTCCACGTAAAACCCCTGCTTGGAGCGATCCCGGGGCTGAGCGTCCTCCCTCGCCTCGGTGGTGGGATGAAGGGCTGCAATTAAAGCGTGAAATAGATCGGTGAATAACCGAATGCGCGCTGATATTAAAACTCCGATTGGTTTTAATGTATTTGCAATGTGACTTGCAGGTCAATTTCATCACAGAGCGCCAAAGGAAAGAGGATGGAACCGGGAACCCCTGCCAAGGAGAGAGTCCTCATTACTGGCGGAGGGGGTTATTTTGGCTTCCGGTTAGTGCATTAAATGGTTATTACACACAGGAATAAATGTAAGAGATTGCTGCTGAGGAGGCAGCAAAATCCATCTGTAAAACGGAAAACTATGGGCCTGAGATTTCTGATCCAGTTCAGTCCATCTTCTGGTTCATCTGGGGTCTCAGTTTTAAACAAACATGTTAGTCTGTCTCCAGATGCTGTAAGTAACTCTGTTATCCTGTGTTTCCAAATGTCAGGCATCAGCTGCCTCGCAGGCATTTACCTGTCTGGTCACCTCTGTAATGGGTGGTCAGATCACCACCTTTCAGCCTGCTCTGAAGGACAAGCCTCCACTTGTACACACATCTTTCTTTTGACCTGCAAATAGTTACACACTGCTTAGTTCTATAGATTAACTACTCCAACTGCTCTCTCAAGAATAGATTTATTTCAATGGGCAGTGATGTTTTAGGATTAGAGTTGTTAATAAGGTACATATTTCAGTGAAATCCATTTACTGTAGCTGGCTCTGCAGGCCTTGTAAAGAAAAAAATCCTATTTTGAGCCCTAGACTATCTTGAGTACCTGCAGAGTTAGAACTGCTTACAGAGGGGAGTGAGACCACAGTCAGGACCAAAAAGTAAATGTCAAGTGGGAGGAGGGGAAAAAAAAAATCTCAGAAGAACCCTATCCAACTTCTGCTTGGCTTTTTCTTCCACTGTCTCCCCCTTAAAGCACTGTAGACATACAACAGTTGTAGGAAAGGTGGGGGAGAAACACCAGAGTCATACTTTGTGTCAATACCTGTGTTTATACCTGCAACTTGGAGTAAAATGTGGCACGTGGCAAGGTATTCATTCCAACGGAGAAGCTTCTCACTCCCCTTCTCCACAAATTTCAAACACAACGGCGAAGACCAACCTGTTGCTCTGCCAGAGCTGGGATGACACAAAAGCAGTAAGATAAAACCAATACACTTTTTTTTTTTTTAATAGTTTTCCAGAGGTTTCCATCTGAAAGGTTTGCTGTTGCTGATCTAAAGGAGATAGAGGAGGGTTCTTCCAAAGCTGTGTTCTTCCAGAAGGCCACTGAAAGCACTTCAGTTGTTTCTGTTCAGAATTTTTTACACCAATTCTGCCTCTTTTTTTCTCCAAAGTACTGCTGGAGTGTGAGAAAGTAGTTCAGTACCTCAAGTATCACAGCTGAATCTGCCCCACAGTAGATGGCTGAATATTTAAAAGACTCCCATCAGAAAAATAATCAGCACTGAAATAGTTAATAGTCTTCTCTTTCTCCAGGTGAAATGTTTCATGCACCGTTGTGCTACGAATCCTAACATACGGTTTCTGTCATGTTTCAGTTTAGGTTGTGCCATATATCAAAAGGGAGTTGATGTGATTCTCTTTGATGTCGTGAAGCCACTTCAAGCCGTGCCAGAGGGAATAAAGTTCGTGCAGGGGGATATCTGCTGCCTGACTGAAGTGGAAGATGCTCTCAGAGATGTAATCTGCGTATTCCATATCGCTTCCTATGGAATGTCTGGCAGGGAGCAGCTGAACCGAAAACTTATAGAAGATGTTAACGTGAAAGGAACAGAAAATGTCATCCAAGCCTGCAAGAGCACAGGAGTGTCGAGTCTGGTTTATACAAGCACATACAACGTGATATTTGGAGGGCAGATTATAGAAAATGGGGATGAATCTCTGCCTTACCTCCCTCTTCACCTCCATCCCGATCACTACTCCCGGACCAAATCTTTAGCTGAAATGAAGGTGCTGGAGGCAAATGGTGCTGAGCTTGAAAATGGGAGAGGTGTGTTAAGGACTTGTGCTCTGCGACCAGCAGGTATCTACGGGCCTGGAGAACAGAGACATCTTCCAAGAATAGTCAGTTATATTGAAAGGGGGCTGTTTAAGTTTGTGTATGGAGATCCTCTTAGTTTGGTTGAATTTGTGCATGTAGACAACCTGGTTCAGGCTCATATCCTTGCCTTTGAGGCCCTCAAAGCCAACAAGCAGCACATTGCTGCAGGCCAAGCCTATTTTATTTCAGATGGCAGGCCTGTAAATAACTTTGAATTTTTCCGACCCTTAGTGGAAGGTTTGGGTTACAAGTTCCCAACCTGTCGCCTCCCTCTCTCCCTTGTCTATTTTTTTGCATTCCTTACTGAAGTAGTTCATTTTCTTGTAGGACACATTTATAATTTTCAGCCCCTCCTGACTCGCACAGAGGTTTACAAAACTGGGGTCACTCACTATTTTAGTATGGAGAAGGCCAGGAAGGAGCTGGGGTATGAGCCTCAGCAGTACAGCCTGAATGAAGTGGTGGAGTGGTTTAGATCCCGGGGATGTGGACCAAAGCCAAGAAATTATACCATTATGCAGCTTGTTAGGGATGGAGGACTGCTTTTCCTGCTGATTGCTGTGATGGTCTCGTGGTTTCCATCTGCAGTCACATTTTCACTCTAAAAGATGAAATGCTGAGGACAGAATTTAGTTATGTTCTCCGCGTACTTCTGGTTTTGACAGACAGGTAATAAAGATTTTTTTTAAAAAAACACACATTTGTGTGATTCAGGTAAATATCTTTAAACAGTTTTATCCCCAAGGAATGGAACTATTGAGTAAAGAGGTGTAATTTTTATACAGTTTCTCTGCAAAGTAAAACTGATCAGATCACTAACAAGATGAAGCTCAGTATTACTGCAAGCAGCATTTTATTCTCAGGTACAACAGCACACTGCAGTGAATGGAACAAATGTCCTTAGGCTGGCTGTTCTTCCTCCCTGATGGCATTATACTCTTGATTCCTGCCCTATATTCCTAAAGAGCTTGTGCTACATGATCCAGAGGAGAATAAACTTACTCTTTGATCACATTCCAAAACCCAGTTCTGCTTTCCAGCTTGGTTGTATATGTGCCTAACCAAGATGAACTGATAAACTGCTAGACAATAAACAAATGTGGTTTCTTTACATTCTGGTACGCTTTTCTGACTTAACTCTGTGATATCTAATGTCATTCCTGGAAAAGGCACCATAGTTAATCTAAATTACAGCAAAGTGCTTGAAGCACCACAGATTTGTAGATTTTTCTAACAGTGAAATATGTCTGTTTAAAATGAATGAGCTAACTAAAGTGCATTCATAAATAAAACCTATTATTTTCCCCAGCATTACTGAATGGATAAACAAAGAATCCATCAAAGACATCTGGTAAGTGATTACACTCACGTTCCACTATTTATAAAACGTTTTTAGCTTTAATAATATTTCTTTAACACCTGACACAATTTGAGTAGAACTTTACCTTTGTAGTAGGAAGATAAACACTTGCTACAAGGAAATTCATAATTTCATGGAGTTTTAAGAATAGAAGATAAGACCTTGTTAAGTACAGGTCACTACTGTCCCAAGCAACTCCCGTCAGTTTAATGTAGGAAGAGAAACAGAAACCACCTCAGATGTTAAAACACGAAGTTGTTTTCCCTTAACCCATCAGCATTACTGTTTCTGTACTCCTTGACAAAAGGAGAGTCCTCCAAGAATTTCACACTTCTCTTTAAACTTTAGTCTTTCTATTTAATAGCTGAAGCTACACTGCTCTTAAATTAATTGTAACTTCCAGTTCCTTCAGTTGTTAAACTCTGCTGCAGTTGAAATGGGGAAGTGCAGAGGAAGAGGCAGACAGTAGTTCTGCTGCATTGTTAAAGGATTCTCAGAAAACAACAGGGCCTAAATAGAGGAACCAAACTAAAAAGTCCACTGCCACCCCTGCTGAGAAGATGGAGGGGTTTGTAGTTAATAATGACTGGAGACAGCATTATTTTTTGACTCTTGAGTTCCCTTCCAGAGAAGTTTACCTTAAAAGAAAAAAATAAACCCATGCTATTGGTAACTTTTTTATATTGTCTTGCTTGAAATCTAACTTTTCTCCTTCGTTCCCCTACCAGTAAGTACACCATAAAAGAAGCTAAATTTAATACTTAGCTTGAGGGACAGTTCAAGAGAGAACCCTTTTTTTTTTTTTCTCTAATAGCAAATAAACTGTTTCTGTAGCAGGAGTGTTGCACTCTGTTATAAAGAGCTTATGTGCCTCCAACTGAGCACTGATGGCAGAAGGGCCACGCTCCAGAAGTCATTATTATACACCATCATCTGCAGAAAAAACCCTTCTTTTTAATAAAACAGAAAGAAGACAGCCATGACCTCATGAAAGCACTGGGCTGCTGTTCTCTTTCCAACAGCCTTTTTTTTTTCCAAGTGGAAACCACTTTGTTGTTTTCCCCTTTAAGTTCTCTGGGTTTGACACAATGTTATCAGAAATAGATTAAGAAATTTTAATGCCAGCAGAAGACAAAACCAAAATGTACAAGAAATTGCACAAGCCTGTTGCAAAGAAACAGCATCAGTATTTCATGCTACATCTTGTTTAAAAAAAAAAAAATCTTTTTAAGATAGGGAACCTAATCCCTGTGCCCCTGGGGAATTTCCTCTGCTCTTTGCAATCTTTTAGCAAAGCTCAGCTACCTCTATTTATAATTATCTCAACGGTGGGGTTGAAAACAAAATCCATGAAGGGTTCTTTAGGCATGAATCCTAAACCCGTGCTGTCAACACCAGCCCAGGCTCAAGCCCCGAGCAGCTTTTGAGGTACAACAGCAGCGGAAGCTCCTGAGCAGCCAAAAAAAGCCCAACAAAACCACAAATACCAAAGTCCTGCAGCAGCTGAGCTCAACACGTGAACTTTTTCATCTGTCTGGAGTCAAGGGCAGAAGTTCTCAGTGATAACAGAGCAGACTATTCTGTCCTAATGGCCCATGACTGTGCTGCAGCACAAGGGAGTAAATCAGGTACTTGTGGGGAGACAGGGGCAGTGCTTGGCAGGGGTGACCAGAGCCATCAACAGTGCACTGGGAAATTCATTAATTCCCTGTCAGTCAGCTTTAGCTAGTCAAAAAAAAGCATCATCCTGACTACAGAGGAAGTGAAGGATACTTTTCCTCTTTCCAAAAGGAAAACAGGCAATCTGCGGCTGAAGGAGAGACTCTAAAATTGCTTGGGAATTACATCTGTGTAAAGCCAGTCACAGCTGCTCTATTTTAATTTTTTTACAATGAGAATTTTCTCTTCTTCTTCCCGTTTTTTTTGTTATTACTCCTCTTTCATGAACAGCAGAGTAAATCAAGGCAATTAATTCAAGTGTTGCGTCTATTTTCAAATTTTAATTTTTTTTTACCTGTTTTCCTGAAACCGAATGACCAGAAACGCATCTAAAAACTGAAAAAAGCAGAATGAAAATATAGCACAGATTCAATTTTTCCTAGTCCTCAAAATTACTGAACAGTTGATAGGTCCCTTACTAAAAAGAATGATGCTGGTGTTTAAAGTGAATAAAATCCTCAGTCAGCTGCTTAATGTCGTAGACACAGCACGTCAAGGTACACATTTGCCAGATGCACATGAACAACTTATACTTCTAATGTGTATTTAAAGGTATTTATTTTGGACTTTTAATCAACTTCAAAGTAGACCAGATTTTATAGTGCCTTCTCCTAAGAGAACCAATGTTCCTTCATTTCTATTTATTACTTATTTCCACGTACTTTCCAAAATACAGTGGCATATTTAATAATTCATGATGTGATCTTCAGACAAAAGTGTCCTGGACACTGATAATTTATACATATTGCAAAAGATCTGGGGATAAACTGCAATTCAGGAGTACCTAAGTGTTAAGGGAACTACTTCTGCTTTATTTTAGTCAAGCTCATGGTTCCCAGTTTTGCTGGAGTAACAGCTAAGAATGTAGACTAGCAATGAATTAAACTGCTTTTAATTTAATTAAAATTCTTTTAAAACTAATAGCTGTGCATGTTTACAAATATCTGTTGTAGGTCAGAAGATAAATTTGTCTCTGAACTGGTTCTGAAGGTTAATTTTCATTATATTTAACTTCTATTTCTAATGATATAAATGGAATTTCAGCCTGGAACAAAGCCAACTAGTTGGACTGCACTTGGAAACGCTGACACATGACTATAGCAGAATTCAAACACTGTACTTCAGCTTTCACACCACATTCAGATTTTTACAACTGGTTTGAAGAATTCAAAGATAACGCCTGGTACATGGGTCACACCATCTCACCATCCAGAGGACTGCAGAACTAACACACAGATGCATTGGGGTGGGAAAAAATGAGAGTACAGACAACAAAACACCTAAAGGAAGGAATTTTGTTGGACTGCAGAGCTCCTGCATACCAATACTCACATATGCAAAGGTGATAAAGACCCTTTAGCTTATCTAATGACCTTCTAGAAGAAGTAGGCTGCAGACATCTCATATTATTCATGTTCAATAAGCATATAATTTTTATCGAAAGATTGAGAAAACTTTTGTTCCCAAGACTCCCAACAACTAAAAAAAAATCTCAACATAAGGAGAGCGTGCATTGCCCCAGCAGCACCTCTGCCCACACAGACTCATGGGCAGAAAGTGTGCTGGTAACATTTTTTGGTAACCATCAAGATTACTGTTCTTCCAAATCACCACCAACTTAATCTCTGCCTCTTTCAGACTTTATTGTTCAAGTTCATACAAATCTGATTCTCACTGGGGTTGAAGTTTCCATCTACCTCTCACTGAAAAAGGTCAGGTAGGAATCACAACTTAAACATGATCCTTGACCTTTTCCTTCTGCCCTGTGTGTTTGCAGGCAGATGGAAGTGCAACAATAACCATGTCTACGGAAACAATCATTAAGTCAGTTCATCTTAAAAGCACAGAATTGCCCTTCTTCCAACCCCCAGCAGAACATACCATCAGACCACGTTTCAGTAAGAACTCACTCGCTGCTTCAAATGACTGGCAAAATTCATGAAATTCAGTGAGCAATACTTGAACAAAGGAACATCTGGCATCATTCACATCGCAGCTGAGTTATCAAAAATTATTTATTTTAATAAGTTATTTCAATGATTTAAAACAGTTCCTGTAAGAATATAACAATTTAACAATTGTTAACTTCAAAAATTTATAAATGTTTTTATAGATTAAAAAATTAGCACACACATTCACACTTACTTTCGTATTCAAACAGTTGCAACTGTGAAAAAGTTGCTACAGAGCTTGCCCTGACAAAGGACTGAGAGGTGAGATATTGGATTAAAACAATACAAGAAACAAGAGTTACAATATAGCCTTGCCCATAATTAGCAAGTCAACAAAACAGTCACTGCTATATTTTCATTCTGCATCCAGTGTAACATCATACTCTGGGGAAAAAGTCTTACTGTAAAACAAAATGCATTTTCATAAATACTGAAGGAGTGCCTCAAAACTCCTGGCATCACATGTGTGGAGAACATACATAGGACTTTTCAAAGGACTACAAAATGTGCTAATTCTTAAATACTTGCACAACAACAGCACAAGGAACTCCTGTGTCCAGCACACAGTGGTTGTCCTGTGTCAGGAATACCAACGAAGGAAGCCAGGAGGAAGGGACAGTTTGCTTGTGTCTGCTCTGGAACTCAGCTTTAAAAAAAGTGCCCACAAACAGAACAAAAACCTCACCACAGCAACAGCCTCGACCTCGAGGTCTGAGTTTCCTGAGCTCTGGCATCTTGTAGTCTAGGTTTCCTGATCAGTCCAAACCTAGCTGGTGTCAGCGGCCCATGAATCTCGTCCTGCAGCAGCAACAACCTCAAGGCCTTCCAGACAAGGCTTTGGGCCACCTTGTCTGATCAACACTGACAACACGGTGTTCTCACATTACATGGGAATCACAGAGACTGTTGAGGGAAATATATAGCACAGGAACTGATCATATGACAAACTAAGCACATCCTGGAACATGCACACTAGATATGACCCCCCACCTCGAGGAGGAGCAACTGGATCACCTCACTGGACTGGATACTGCAGTAAAGACCAGCTTTATACAGCAGCCTAGGTTACAGCTCCACCTCCCAAATCCACTGCTGACGGGATTTTTTGCTCTGTTTGAGGGAGGTTTGCACACATCTAGTCCTTGAACAGGTCAATCACAACTGGGTACTGAAGAGATTGCAGGCAGGAGGATGAAAAGCAGAGAATTGCCTTTAACTTTCCTCTGTTTTTCAGCTGAGTGATTAGTAATTAATTTCTTTATAATAAAAAATTTACAGAAGCCACCCCATTGTGGGATACACTATTATAATACTTTCAACTTTGAGACAAGACTGTCTTTACAGAATAACTAAAACCTCAAGGGGGTTCCTCAAACCATCATCTGTGAATGCACAATGGCATCAATTAAGAGCCTCTTGAAACAACAGAAGTCACAGCGTGGGGAGCAAGAGAAACTGAAAATTGCTGAGGCAGCTGCATCAGGCCATGAATCCCAAATCCATGCAAGTCCTCTGTGATCAGAAATATAGCACTATGTATGCAGCATTTTATGCCTCAGGCAGCCACTCAGGCAGAAAACTAAACTCCTCTGCACACATCAGAAACACAGACAGCAAAACTCCACCCATGCAGAGATAAGGTGGCTAGAAATTTGATAGTAATAAAAAACAGTGCTAGCACAAAGGACCAACATATACACAAATCATGGCAACTGCTGTTAAATATTCCATCAAAGGATTTT